GTTGGTAAGACTTTGGCAGGGGATTTGTTTGGGGCAAATGTTCCAGGAAGAGCACAAGTATGAGGAACACGGAAGTTTGAGATATGTGTGGGAGCTAGGAAAGCAGAAGTTGGATCTACAGTGCATCAATATCTATAGTTAAAAATAAGCAAGGAAAGGAAGATAAAACTCATGATTTAGAAGGCTGGAGGTTTAGTAGGAACAGGAGAAACTACAACAGCCAATGTGAACATCACTTCACCCTTTAAGTTCAGGCAATCTTCTGAGAATTCGCCTGGACTATAGATTGGATTGTGTTAGAAGCACTATTATTGTACCCATTGCATGGATAGGAAACAGCACAGGAAGTTATAGTGAGTGATTCATTCTGGTTATGAGATTTGCAGGAGACAGTGTACCCCCTTATTCCTCAGGAGGGGGCCACTTCCTTGAGATGCCTGCCTTTCTCCTTGATATGCTCTGGCTAATTTTTTTTGGGGGGGATTAATCTACTATCCTGACAGGATCTGGTTAAAACTTCGGATTAACGTGGTTGGGTTGTTTCTGCCTGGGGATGGAGCAATTCGGCTGACATGAGGAAAGGAGTCACAGGTGGCCTGGCCAGTCTGCAGTTTCCTTTTGCCAGCAGCTCTTTTGTTCTGCCCTGACAGGGATCTTTCCAAGGTGGCTTGAAGGAGATGTATGAACTTCCAAGAATCCCCATTTCATGCCTTTGCTACTGCCTCAGCTTCTCTCTGACCTGTCCACAGGCAGTCCCTGTGGGGTTAGGGTGAGGGGCAACTCGATTGGCTTTGGGGTCCACCACGGGGCTGGTGGAGAACTCTTCTGGGTGTCTCAGGTGGTTCATGGGGCCATGGTCGTGGGGTTTGGCTCTCTCCCCCTGATATGCTTCCCTGTCACTGTGAACGAAGCATCTTTGCTCTCTCGTACCCTTCTACTAGGAGATTTCTGCCTTGGAGCCAGCCAGCCATGGCCTGAAACCATGAACCAAATTGAACCTCTCCTCCTTTATTTTGTGAGTGCCGGGCGTTGTGTCCAGGGACACCTGACTAATACACCCTCCCACCACCTATGCACACCCCAGCTTTGAAAGTCTTCACAGTTCCTGTATTTTCATTGATTCTTCAAATCCAGGAGTTTTCCTCCTACTGTTAATTTCCACTAAGGTTCATGTTGGGGACAGAAACCAGCAGCTGAGCTGCTTTGTCATCAGGACAGGAAATGGAGGTCGTGGACAGCACCAACAAAGTGACCGAGACCTGGCAGGGTGCTGGACACAAGCTAAGCTCCCTGAAGCTCACCACAAGCAGGGACAGGGAGGGCTCTCTGTCTATAGCGCAGGGTCAGACTTTGCCAGTTGGATTTTTCAATGTATTAATAAGATTTTGAATAAGGACCTTATTAAAGAGAGATACCTGGAGTTGGTGTTCCAACTTGCTAAGTCAGGTTCAAGCTGAAGCTCTGGAATGCTCAGTGGATAGGGCATTGTGGCTTTGGGGGACATTTAGATATAAGTCATTACAAGTACCATGTTGTATCCTTCTGGTTAGCAGTGTGTGTGTGTGTGTGTGTGTGTGTGTGTGTGTGTGTGTATAAAGAAAGGGGTTAGTAAAGGTTCAGAGAAACAGCAACTATCACATACTTGTTGAGAGGGTAAATCGATATGACTGCTTTGGAACACAATGAAGTAATGTCTTTTCAGCTATGGGTATAGCCCAACTCAGCAATTGAATTTTCAAATTCTAGTTTCAGAATAACTTTTACATTTCTACCAGGAAAGACACACAAGGATATTGATTGCTATTATTGTTAACAGTGGCACATTTTGAATGAAAAATTTACTAAGTAAATAAATGGTAGTATTTTCATATGATGCAATACTAACCAGCAGTTAAAGAGCTAAATGAGCTGGATCCAACATGCCTATGCCCTCAGAAACAAAATGAGAAAAGAAAGCAAGATGTAGAATTGTAACATTTATGTAAAATTGAGTAACATGCAAGACCTTCCTTTATATTACTACGTATTGATTTGGATACATGTAGACCCCTGTATATTTTAAAACTAATTTAAAAGTGAGAGGGACACAGAATCTCTATGATTGTCTTTTAGAGCCCGAGAAGAAATCAGTTATTCCTGTTTACTGAGAGGGGCCACTGTTTAGTAGTACTCCTTGCTAAAATCACCTGAACAAACTGTGATAATACTGTGAATACAATGGTAAGTCGGTCTGATAATTTGTTGCATCTTACTTTGATTGACAGTCAACTTTTCTGGCCACTGTATTGCTGAGTGGGGCTGCACAATGTATGCTTCTCTGCATCAGTCTTTTCTTTTAGCTTTGATCTTCAAAGCTCTAGTTTTTCATTGACCTTTACTTTTCAATTCTTATCTTACTGTGTTTTTTGAAAGCCATCTCAATCTTCCATGACATGAGATAGAATAAAAATGATTTTGCTGGTACAAGAAACCCAAATTATAAATAAAGAAAAAAATAACATAAAGATAATAGGAAGTAGAGAGATATATCTTTCTTAAATGAAAAGGGAATCAAGAGATGCAGGGAGGGGAAGGAAATGGGATGTGGAAAGCAAGGAAGATGTGTTATGCACATGTACCAGCTCCACACAAGGTATGTAAACATATGTACTGCAAACATGGACTAATAAAAATTTTTTAAAAAGTAAAAAAACAAGCAGGCAAGCAAATAATCAAACAAATCACTTCAGCCAAGAAAAACATTGGCCATTCATTTTCTTTCCTGGGACTTCCAGAATTCAGCATCTTTTGCTCTTATTGATCTATTGTGAGCGGGTTCCCTCTGGCTGGGAAAGTGTCCATGGCTGCCTTTATTCAAAGATCTCTCTACCCTCATTTATTCCAAACTTTCTCCAACCTTATTCTGATGCACAGTGAAAAATCGACTGAAGAAGTTCTCAAAATAAAATAAATTGTGGATTTTGCCAAAGAGAGGTAGGTAAAATTGGAAAATATGAACTTCGTATGCACTGTAATAAATCGCCAGCCTCCCCCTCATCCATAAAGATAGCTCTTCACTGTCTCATTTTTTGGCAATCCAGAAAAGTTAAGTTCTAGGTGATCCACATAAATTCTCCAATGGAAACTTTTCTCCTCTCTCATTATTTATTGACTGGTTGATTGCCTTGGCTAGATATGGAACCCAGAACCTTGTGTGTGTTAGGGATACACTCTACTAATGAACTACACCTCCAGCCCTTAAACGTGTTTCATATATATTTAGGAATCATTTTTCTTCTCTTGTATCACTTTGCCTCCAGGTCATACCTGCTAGCAAAGACATTCTCCGTTCACATACAGGTGAAAATGAGTTGAGTTCCTCTGAGACATGCTACAACTTCTTGCTTTGAGATCTTGGAGATGTTTAATCTTTTGCTTCTATATCATTCTATGCTAAGATCTGTCTCCAACATGCAGATCAGAACTCTGTATTTTTATCATCACGCTCCCCTAACACTGAAGATTCATTCCAAGAAATGCACCAGCAGGTGATTCTTGTCATTGTGTGAGTATCATAGAGTACTCACACAAGCTAAGATTGTTTGATGTTGCTAGTTGATCTAATCTTCTGGGCCCACCACTGTACATGCAGCCCATTATTGAGTGAAACACTTTTCTTTAACATGTGAGCATATTGGTGTGTGCAAATACTACTGGAGTTAGAAAACAGAAATTTAAAATGCCTCTTAAGACTTCACAGAATCCTTTTTTTCTGTGTGAATCTCACTTCTGACTTTATTTTCTTTCCTTGTTATTCCTCTATTCTTATTTTCGCCCTTGAAAAAAATTGTCTATATGTATGTGAAATAAAGTGCTCGATGACTAACAAACTAAAGAACATAGTGTTAGATAAACCCTTTTTCTTTATTTTTAGAAGACAGCAATAGCTTTTCTAGTGGCTTTCTTTGGTAAAGAAAACACCGTATTTTAAAAAATAGTTTATAAAAATTTATATATTTTCACAACCACATTCCTGGTTCATGTTCTCCACTCAAAAGATGTTTGTTTTCTTTGGTTGTTTCTTGGCTAAGCCTCCCATCCCATCACCACAGCTACGTTTCTTAACACTGAACCTGTTCTCCAGAACCTGAACTTTACAGGTAGAGACAACAGCAAACCCCGGTCGGGCTCTGCATCATGGATAGATGCCAGCTGATGTTTCCATATGGATTGTTGTGTGTGGGCGTTGTGAACTCGTGGTCCTCTTTAGTCAGGGCCAGTTGGCTGGAGTTCAGGAGAAGGTCCTCATAGGCTTAGCTCGCAGCGGTGATGAAGATGAAGGTTGGCCTCAGTGTCCTTGCTGCCACTGTCCCCATTCTGTGGGTTAGGTTGGTGGAGAGGGTGAGGACTTACGAACTATGCCTTTCCCTGGGTTGTGATCCAAGCATTCTTTTTCTTTTTCAAACTTACTTCTATGAAGTATTTGATAGCAGAAATTGTTTATTGAAAGCTGTGTGTATATCTTTTAGGTGGTATCCCACATTTTCTTTTCATATTTTACTCTTTGGTGGGAACTGTTTGCCTTTGAAGGGATGTCAGCCATGGTAATCCTTGGGCTGGAACATTTTTTTGATGTTCCACACACGTCTTGGTGTAGAGAGGAATGAGTGAAGAATGTTAATCACTTGAGTAATAATTCTGCAAAATAAGGGTTCATGGCCCACTAGGGAATCATCCAGCATTTCTGTGTGACCCTTGGGCACCTAGCACAAGAGTAGAGTGCACCAGATCCAAGGAATGGGGACCTTAATAATTTGCTATAGCAGATCTTTATGGCCGTTTCCCCAGACACGACATTTACAGTGAGCAGAATGGCTTCTTAAATGATTAACTCAGTCGATAGTTACTACTCTTTGTCTTCAAACTGGTTTGCAATATTCTGTTGAATTGGTGCATGTTTGTGTGTGCAGCTGTAATCCAACATTAATAAATAACATGGAAGATTCCTTGTTTTCTTGCAGGTAGCCAGAGCGTCTCACTGATCGCACTGCTGAAAGGGGGTCAGTCCCATGCCCCAAAAGTGGACGTCAGTACCCGTGATCAGCGTATGTTCCTATGTTACGTAGGTAAATATTATCATATATAAATGCGCACATCTTCCCCTGAACTCCAAGATTTTGAGTTTGCCTATGAGATCTCTGAGTGGAGAATTGAAAGAAGCCAAGAAAGACAACATCTGTTTCTGGTATGGATGACAGGAAAGGACTAGATCGGGTAGGACAATAGGTGAGGTCCTGAGAGAAGGAAGTCTTGACCGAGTTCTTTGGGAGTTTGGGGAATGTTCTGAAAGTGTGCAGAGAGACAGGGCCACTCCAGTGAGTTGATACAGAGGGGCCCTGGTGAGAAGAGGGGTGAAGATGTGAAGGTTGTTTTTCTCTGGCTCTTATAATTGGTTTCCCTATAATTGAAACGTTGCTAAGAGATTGTAGTGGATTTCTATCTCTTGTTATTTTTTTCTTAGACAATTATGGTTTGGTGCTGAGATGAACCGCACTGCAAAAAATGTACATGTCTGGATCTCTACCACTTTATGTAAACTTACATTCATTTCACATCTTCCAAATAGAACCCACCTGAATTTGGTGTCAGTTAAGCCTCGCCTGTCTGTTAAGTCACTCCATGCCTGTCTGTGGGACTTAAACAAGCTCTTCACAGCCATAAGTAAATCGGTATTTGCCCTTTAAGGTAAACTAAAACATGACACTCTGAATAAATTAATCTCCCGGTTTTTGCTTATATCAAAAAGTGATAAGTTCCCATGATAAGCCCCTTAGAGATTTAAATATGCTGATGGCCCTATATTCAATCACATGGAGTATTTCACAGCATTTGTTATTATCTAGAGTGGTATTTCTCAGATGCTGTTCATTGGCTTTTTGCTGTGGAATCACCTTAGAGCCTACATAAAATGCAGATTTCTGGGCACTGCTGCAGGTTTAAATAATCAGAATTCCTGGAGTGCTGCTGCCGGAATCTACAAGAGATGAAAATGTTTTTCATCCTGCTGCCTTTTCTACATGTCATGCATAGCTGTAAACATTTTTGGGCTCTCCCCTGTGCCTGCTGCATGTTGCATGCTGAGTGATTGTGGGCAGCAGAATAGTGACAATGAAGATGCTTACTTGTGACCCCCTCAACCTGGGAATATGGTACCTTCTGTAGCAAAAGGGATTTGCAGATGTGCTTAAGTTAAGGATCTTGACATGGGGAAATTATAATGAAATATCTGACTTGGTCGAATGTAATCACAATGATCCTTAAAATAGGGACAGAGAAGGGTCAGAGTCAGAGGAGCTGATGGATGATAGAAGCAGTGTTGGAATAATGTGATTGCTGTGAAGGGGTCATAAACCAAGAAAAGCCTTCAGAAGCTGGAAAAGGCAAGGAAATAGACCCTGTCCTAGAGGCTCAGGAATGTGTGTGTTCCTGCTGATACCCAAACTTCTAGTAGAGGTTCATTTTAGACTCTAGGCCTCCGGGACAATAAGGTAATAAATTTGTATTTGAAGCCACTAAATTTGTGGTAATTGTTACAGCTGCAAGATGAAACAAATATAGTGGGTGTCAGTATCCATAATGGTTTAAATCTAGAATCTTCCCCAAATGTCTCATGTGTTTAGAAGTGAGGCTTTTGAAAGGTGATCATGGAGGTGTTATATTCATCAGTGGACTAAATCACTGATGAGTTCATAGATGAATGTGCTGTTACAAGGTGGGGAAAACCAGGGTCACTGGGCAGTGTAACCCAAAAGGGTGCATTCTTCTCCCTGGCTCCTCCCTTCTCTCTCTTTTTCTCCACTTCCTGGCTGCCATAAAGTGAGCAGCTTTTCACCATCTCCTTCTACTGTGCCATTTCTGTCTTGGAGCCAGCCAACCATGGACTGAACTCATGGAAACTGTGAGCCAAAATAAATCTTTCTTTCTTCAAGTTCTAGGTGTCAGGTATTTTATCCCAGTTGCAGGCCAATACAGTATTTCTCTGGAGATTGATTTACCTGTGGCCTACCATGCAATTATGATTACTAATGTTGTATCTCCAGAGCTAGTGAGAGGAAAAGCAATGAACAAGGACTCATTGACCAAATGAATGAATAAACAAGTGATCCATGACTACCCTCAGTTTGGCTTTATTCCTTCTCTAAAGCAGGCAGTAGTGCAATTAGAATGCAAAAGTTCTCAGAGATGTGTGTGATGTATTTTAGCCGTCAAGGTCTGGTTTCTGGCCACCAGGAAGTGATGACCTTGTGTGGTTTTTTTTATGATCAATCACGGCTTGTTACTTGGTCAGCTAGACATGTAGATTTCACTTGTGGCTATAATCTCAAATTTAGATTTAAGCACATAGGTATTTTTATTTCAGAAGATTGTTTTATACTTAATCTAATTAAATGCCATTTCCCCCCCAAGCAAATACATTTCTAAGAGAAATTTAATACCTTCTTTATGTAAAGAGTTATCATCAGGCTTCCAGTTTTTCTCCATCTTCCATAGAAAATGGAAATGGTGGACATTGAATCAAGTTGCAAGGGACTTATGTGCAATTCAGGGTAATTTAATGGGCTCTGATAGTTTCCCCGGCCGTGGGTTCAGAGAAGGACCAGAATTGCCTGTCCTGCCTAGGGGCATCTGTTTTTGCCTTGTCTAGACATACTGGGTCTGCTAAGGTGTCTATTCCCCATGTACAGACTCTAGACCAGCATAAAACAGCCCTGTGCAGTCAAAATTCAGGGTAGTTGTATGAGCGGAAAATAAGGTTCTTCAGAAAATTTATTAGAAATTAACGAATTAATTAGTTGAATTAGAATTAACTAAGTCATGACATTAGAAATGACTGTTATTGTTATGTATTGCTGTAATACAAAGCACCCCAACATTTACTGCCCCCAAGCAATGGGCTGTTGTATTATCCCCAGCACTTCTGTGGGCCAATAGGCTTGCCGGGTGGGTGGGTCTCCTGCCCAGCTCCCTTGCTGTCATTCAGATGCCATATGGGGCTGGAGATCTCCAGGCTCTTGGAGGGGCAGAAGGGCTGATCCCTCGCTGTCTGCATAGTCACAGATCATGTCTGGATGTGATCTCTTCCTTCCATGAAAGGGCAGTGAGAAGAAACTCACAGCCATCTTTAACCCACCACTGGACTATGCTTAGATTCTTGCTTTATCAAATATAGCATATTGAACTTTTAAGGTCAAATCTCTTTTTATTCTTGGCTCCCATCATGGTCATTTTAATGGAGGAAGCATGATGTATTTACATAAAGCAATGAATCAAATTGCAGTGACTCTATGAAAATCCTTTCATAAAAGCCAGACAGCAACACTAATAATTGTGAGACTGTGCAACGATTTGCTTTCTCTCCAAGAATGCACTGTTATTAACCATAGTGGTCCCATTGTACAATAGAGCTCTACAATTTCTAATGTAGAAAGTAATTTGGGTGTTGGGGGAGAAGTGATGAGGAGGAAAATCTTTATCAAAGAACAAGTCTGGGATGGGATGTTGCTCAGTGGTGCAGCACCTGCCAAGCATGAGGAAGGCCCTGGGATCGGCCCCCAGCATTGTGAACAAAACAAGAAGCCAGTTCATGAGCTGAGTGCCAAAGAAGGTAGGGGTTTGCCAGTCAGAGAGGAGTGTGAGCCTTCCAGGGAGAAAACCACGGTGAAAACACAGCGATGCGTGGGAGAAGATTGCGGGGCAGGGAAGGGTGCTCAGGGCAGGATGGATGGTAGGGTGACGTGGCCTCAGTCCCGAGAGCCCGGCGGACCTTGTCGGCAGGGTCAAGGCCTTCAGACTTCATCTCTAGACAACAGTGAACCAGACAGGGCTTTGCAACAGGCGAGTGGGTGATCAGAACTGAGCTCCAGATAGTGCCCTCTGAAAGGGAATGAAAGGCAAAGGGTTAAACAAGCACCTCTCAGGGGTATCACAAATGGCCAGGATTTGGGAAGTATGGAACCTCTACGATAGGATTGAAAGTCTGGTGAAGCAGATTCTGCTACTCGTGTTCAAATGAGAAAGATGAGTCACAGTCTGTGGCAATTCACATATACATCTTATGAAGTAGATTTTATTATCTCTGTTTTACAGATAAGGAAAAGGAGGCACACAGAGGCAGTAAGTGACAAAACGAGGCACCTTGAATTAGCTGTTGGCAGAGCTGTCATTTAAATTTAGGCAGCTTGACTCCAGAAAGGGAGCTTTTAACCATGGCCCCGTGCTGCCACCTGGTGGTCAAATGCTGTAAATGCAATAAGGGAGGCGCTCCCAGGAGGCGCGTGTGAATTTGGAGCCGCACTGAGGACTGGTGTGGAAGACAAGCAGAGGGAGCAAGAGTGCGCCAAGGGATGAGGGCTACCGCCACCGCTCCGTGTGTGGGGAACAGGAGGAAAGCGGAAGGCGTTAGGAGATCAAGAACAGAGATGGGAGGATCTGGTAACGGGCTTGGGCTTTGACGGAAACCACTGATGAGCTTTAATTATAGGACCGATTTGGGCAGATTTGCATTTTCCATAACGTCCCCAGTAACTGCCAGGAGAATGGATGCCGGGGCGAGAGCCATGAAGAGCGGCCCACAGCTACGATTCCAGCGCTCTGAGGCCAGGACAGGAGGGTTGCAAGTTCAAGTCCACTCCGGGCAACTTATGACTTGGATCTTGTCTCAAGTCTAAAATTTCATATAAGAGGGCTGGAGGGAGAGAGAGAGAGAGAGAGAGAGAGAGAGAGAGAGAGAGAGAGAGACAGAGAGAGAGAGAGAGAGAGAGAGACAGAGAATCCAAATCTTCAGGACATCAGACGCTGTACCTCTTACTCATCAGCTGCTCCAGAAGCTCCGTGGCAGTGACCCTCAGCCTGGGATTTCACCCCACCCAGGAGTCCCTTTGGGAATATCCGGTGACATCCTTGTCCCAACTGGTGGTTCTGCAGTGCTGGAGCGTGCTGCTAACCTTCCGCCTCCGCGCACAGGTCAGCCCTGCCTCTGAGAGCTGCCGGCCCCGAGGTCAGCTGCAGGTCTAGGGTGCTTGGCAGCTGGACAGGAATCAGGGTCCTGGCCCGGGGCCTTCTCTGTCTCCATCGTGCTGCATCCCACCAGCTCATGGAACTTGGGCAGGAAGGGGCGGGCAAGACACTCGCCAGCAATGGTCCTCCCTCCTTTATCCAGCCTCTCCTTTTCAGGGGAAGAGATGAGGGGTCATCAGGCTTTGCACAGCTGCAGTTTTACTCACTGGCTGCCAACAGGATGCTCTTGGGGTCAGTGCTTGCAAGAGAAGATCCCAGAACAGCTGAAATCTGGGACCAGGAACAAAATATCTCTGGAGTTACTTTCAATGAAAGGGATCTCTGGGAATAAGAAACTATTGCACATCTAAGGGAGAAAGGGTTTCTCTTTACCTTAAACCCAGGTGGCGTGGGTTAGAAGACGTATGCTGGATGCTGGTCAGGCACCTTCTCAGATCTGCAAGGCCCTCAGGTATCTGAGACTCTACCTCCTTCCAGGGTGGAGGCCAGCTGTGCAGTGGGTGGGTGGGCACAGGGGGGGTGACCAGTTCTCTAGAACTCTGGGGGCCCCTCACTCTGTCTGGAAGTTTTTGTCACAGCATCTGCCCAGGTGGGCACACATTCCATCCTCACTCCCAAAATCCCACTGTCCTCATTGGTGGAAAGTAATCTCTTTCCCTTAATTGATAATACCAGGCAGACTGCCAAGCATGGATTTCTTGTATTCCATGATTTCTTTTTGGGGAGTACAGAGGGTTGAACCCAGGACCTTTGCACTGAGCTACATCCCAAGTCCTTTTATTTATTTTACTTTTTATTTTGAGACAGGGTCTCATGAAGTTGCTAAGTTGCTCAGGGTGGGCTAGAACTTGTGATTCTCCTGCCTCAGCCTCTCAAAGACCTTGATTTACAGTGTGCACCACCATGCCTGGGTACCATGCCTTTTTAAGTAGTATGTGCCAGAGGATCTGTGGGCAGGCAGAAAACCATCTTACAGGGATCCACACCCTCTTCAGGCACCTAAAATCTACACATCCTCCAGTTCATTACTTTTTTCCGCTGGCAAAGCCAATGTTTAAGAAAAGCAATTTCAACTTCTGGTTCCAGTTTTAGTTAGAAAAACTACAGGTTAGAGTTCAGATGGCTAAACCCTTAAGAAGTGATTATTCTGTGAAAATTGAGTAAATCTTATTGGGTACTGAAATTATTTATGAAATGAAAGACAAAACAAGACAGTTTGGGCAAAATGCACTGACTTCACATCTTTAGGAGTAAGCTGTGGTTTTAGAAAGCTACCTGACTCAGTTGCACTGTTGGTTTTTAAAAAAGGACAATGTTAGCTTGTGTTAGGGATGGTGTAGGAGCAATTGTTTAAAGGTTTTGTAACAGTAAGAGGGGTGAGTGGAACAAACACCAATTGTTGGGCTTGTATTGATGCATATTGCTCTTATTTGTCAAGAAATATCAACATTTTCCTTTCCTTTATTCTTGTCTTCCAGCATCAAGATAGTAATCTCTACTGTCTTCAGATATAATGGGAGAACTTGCCAGTGCTTTGATATGAAATAGAGATAAAGAAGGGGATGCTAAACTGTCTCTTTAGCTTGCTATTTTGTAGCAAATGCCTTCAACCATTGCCAGCTCTTATGGGTTAGATGAAAAATGGCCCCCAAAACTCCTGTGTGTGGCAGGTGATTGCATTATGGGGCACTACAAAGGACTGGCTATGAGGAGGGGGGGCCTGGCAGGAAGAGGCGGGTCATTGTGGATGTGACCCTGAAGGATATCTCACTTTCTGGCTCCTTTCCTGACTCTCTGCTTCCGGCCTGTCATGAAGTGAGCAGTTTTCCTCCATTCAGGTGCTCCCTCTGCTCCTGACCATGAAAGGACTTCTAGAACATGAGCCAAAGTAAACCTCTCCTCCTTTAAGTTTCAGATGTTGGGTATTTTGTCCCAGTAATGAGGAATGGGACTAAAACACCAATATTCTTCAGTTTTTACTAAGATATTTATGTTTAGTAACTAACAGGATACAGAGATGTAATGTGTAATCTTGCCATTGACCAATGCTTAGGTGGTCTGTGGCCCCTAATCCTTCAAAAAAGGAATGTCCTTTCTCCCAAGGGTGCTGTGGAAGGCCAGGCTTGAGATTAGGCTCCCAAAACAGAGGTCAGAGAGCTTGCTTTAAAGTAAGGATCTCAGCTGGGGATTTAGCTCAGTGGTTCCACAGCCTGCCTTGCAAGCACAAAGTCCTGAGTTCAATCCCTGGTACCAAAAAAAAAAAAAAAAAAAAAAAGAAAAGAAAAGAAAAAGAAAAATATAAGGTAAGAATCTGCTCACATATAAACTTCTACACCTCTAACTGATTGGGACACATTATCTTGTTCCCAGGGGTAGTTGATCTGATACCAGCATTTCAAAAGACATTGTGACTCTAACATTGTGACTCTCCTTGTTTTAATATATTTGAGTGTCTATAACAAATACAGTAAACTAGCTGGGTGTAGACAAGGGAAGTTTATTGCTCACAGTTTGGGAGGCTGAGAAATCCAGTATCAAAGTGCTGGCAGGTTCTGGTGAGGGCTCACTTCTCATTGTCTCCTCCCATGGTGGGAAGCCCTGGGCAGCTCTCTGGGATCTCTTCTATGAGGACATTAACCCCATTCATGATGAGGGGGCCCTCATGACCCAATAACCTCTCAAAAGTCCCGTCTCCTAATGTCACCACAGTGGGGATTAGATTTCAACATACCAGTTCTCGGGGAACACAGGCATTCAGATCATAGCATTTCTTTTTTTCTGCTAACGTTCACAGGAAGAATCAAAAAGGCCAAAAGCTGTTGATGTTTTTAACTTGTTCATGATTTAAAGTAGCATCTATGTGGGTGAAAGGACATAAAATTTCAGCTATGCAGGAGGAATAAGTTCGAGAGTTCTGTTGTACATATCGATGACTACAGTTAATAATTATTGATTACTTGAAAATTGCTGAGAGAGATTTCAAATATTCTCATCACAAAAAATAAGTAGAGTGGTACCTTGATTTTTTTTTTTTCAGTGGTATCTCGATTTATGAACTTAATCTGTCTTATGATTTGGGGGAAGATGCTGTGTTTGTGTTTGTGGTTCTGTTTGTCACCTGATGCAGAGTTTGCAAATAGAAGCAAAATTTTGCTGAATGCTTTTGTTTGTTAAATGAATTATTTGCATTTGTAAATTGAGGCATTACTGTATGTGAGTTAGTGCAGATGCTTAATAGCTTGCTTTAGCCATTCTGCAGTGTATATGTATATCAACATATATTATAAACCATAAATCCATATTACTTTTATTTAATTAAAATAACAAATAGTAGAATACCTAAAGGAAATTGCTTGGAAATTGTTCCCACATGATTTATTATCAATAACTTTATGTTCTAGGCTTATTTATTTATGTTTATTTTGCTGTACCTGGGATCAAACTCAGGACCTTGCACTTGCAAGGTAGGTGCAGTGTCACTGAGCTACATCCCTGGCCCCTCTAGGCTCATTTGTTAATTTGGAAGTTCTTAGGCTCTGGCAGTACTTCTAGGGTACCAAGGAAAGCACTGAGAAAGCTCTTCTGGAGCAGTTGGCAAGCAGATTCCGAGTGAGGCCACAGCAGCCAAACACAAAGAGAGCAACCCAGCCCATGCGTAGTTCCTCTTCTGATGAAAAAATAATCACGTTTACCATGTGCACTAGTTGCCTCATGTGCCATATCAAATAAGCACAAACTTGGCTTAAAACCGCATGTATTTATTCTTTTGGACTTCTATAGGCCGGAAGTTCCGGCTTCTTGCGGAAGTTCTGAGGACAGAATCTGCTTCCTCACCTTTTCTAGCTTCCCTCCAAATTTTCTTAAGTTGTCATGGACTCCAGACTTCAGGACGTGACATCTTTGGGATCCAATGTTCTGCCAAATCACCGTGGCCTTTCCTTTATCATAGGTCAAACCAGGTAACTCAGGATCACGTGTAGTCAAGGGGGAATCTCATAAGGTCAGAAAATGTGTGCCAAATCTAAGACCAACATTACAATGAACACTGTCATAATGACTTTTGCTGATTCCACCCAGGTCTGAATTACAGGTGTTTCCCTTAGAGTTTCCTCATTTCTAGAATTTCCTTTCTTTTCTTTGTTTAGCTGCTCACGGAGCCCTGGAGCTTTGCGCTGTGTCACATTTCTGTTTTGTCCCTGTGAGCTCCTTCCGGAAACCATGATTTTGCAAAGAAAAAAGACAGCTGGACGTCGGAGGAACATCTTACTTCCTGTACGAGGAAACAGTGACTATTGAGCACCCACTGAAGGCACAGTTGTGTTTGGGAGTGGGTGCATCCGGCTTCCTCTGCCACTGACCTGAGCAGCAGCGAATTTGGTTCCCATGCTAAGCAGCTGGCTTATTTGAGGCAGAGCTCTTGGCTGCTTTAGCCTTTGCTTACTGACTACACAGGGAGGGCGTTTTCAAGGCTATTTATAAGCCTCTTTACTTTTCTCCCACTCTGCAATTCTTATAGGTTAAGTCTACTCTGAAATATTTCTTAATCCTGAGGGGATTTTGAGGTCATTACTGAAGCCTTCCTCTATGTAGCTTCCTCCTTGAGATCTCCAGAGTAACAATGATAAGGCTCAAAGTGAGAGGCAAACAAAGAAGACCAGAGGACAAAGGGAGGGAGCAAATATGAAAGCTACCAGGAGCTCTATTTATGTGCTTGTTGACCTATGTAACCAGGTTCATCCTGCGTGTAGGAAGCTCGCACTTCTCAATTATGTAGCCAAGTCCTGGAAACCACACAGCCCTCCCGTTGGCCAAACACTGGGTCTTCTTCACTCACCACTGGCCATCCCACACGTATGTAGTGCAAGCAGGGATTGCTCTATTTCAAGGCCTCTGGCTCCAGCTATCTGATGGGGAAGGAGTTCCACTGGGTCTACTGCCTTTCTCCCCAGGGGTTTTCCTGAGGCTGGGGTGCTCTGGACTGGGGCAAATTCACATGATCCCTCTTCTGTCCTTCTCACACTCTCTCATCACAGCTAGGTTTTATTTTTTCATTGCTTGTTCTTTTTTTTTCTTTTCACTAACCCAAATTCTTTACGTGAGCTCCATCCCCAGCCCCTTTTTAATTCTGAGACAAGATCTCGGCTGGCCTTGAAGTGGTGATCCTCTTGCTCCAGCCTCCCGGAGTACTGGGATTACAGGCATGCTAATGCGAAGCACTTTAGCAATCTCTTCTTTCCTTGTCCTTACTTACAATGTGCTCAAACACTTATGACATTTTGCTTAGAAAAGCAGGTCCCTCTCAGAGTATTTCCAGCACCAGGTGTTAATGTAATGACAGGCTTGCTCTCTGCCTGCTTACCTGTCTGATAATTCTGAAGGGACAGGGACAGGGGTGTTGCTGAGGGAAAAGAATTTGGGGTTCAAATATGAATGTGATCTTGCTTGGAAAGCATGGCCCTTCTCTAAACTGAACTGCAAAATAAATAGTCTATAATATAATAATTGAATAGTTGCTTTACTAAAACCGGTAACTGTTATTTTCAATTTCCCTCTGCCCTTTTTCTCATGATTTGGAATGCCTTTTCTTTGAAAATAATGATGTTACTTTAACCTTTCACCATATTCTAACATTTTACCCGTTTTAATCCAAAGTAAAAGAAGCAGAAAGGAGTTTGCCGGGAATAAGGAAAATCAGCGGAAGCATTAAAAGATCTGGTTGGGAGTCTTGGCCTCTACTCTCCAGAAAACTCACCTGGGACAGTCAGGCAGCAATGTGGCCACATCATTATAAGAAACTGTAGTGGTTCTGCTAGATGACACGACCTGTGAAACACCTAGGAAAATACCACTGAGCTTGAAGTAGGTCACTTTGGGTAGTAGACTTTTCCATATTTAAATTGACTTTAGACTGTCTGCAGATCTAGGTAAGCCAGTTTTAAAAGAAATACAAAGAGCACAGGAGAGGAAATAGAAACTCTACACTTCTCCACTTCTTTTTTAAAATTTCTCTTTATTTTCAATCAATATAATGTTTGCTATGCGAAGTAATTATTTTCGTCTCGGGGAATTGGTACATATGCCTAACCCATCTTGTGTATTTTTCTTTCCTGTTTTCTATTTCTTAACTTTAAAGAAGGACTTTGATTTTTCAAATCAAGGAATGGAAATGAAGGAAGAGGATCACAAATTTGAGTCCAATCTCCGCAACCTAAATGACTCCGTAAGACTTTGACTCAAAATTTGAAAAAATAAGAAAAGGGCTAGGAATGTAGCTCAGTGGGCGCAATTCCCCAAGCACCAAAAACAACAACAAAAAACCCCAAAGTCCTGACACTATGTATCAGAATTTCCACGAATTATGAAAAAGACATGTCCTCTTATCTGTGTCTTTCATTGATTTACAGACTTTTTAGTCAACTTGGCACTTTAGGAGTTTGCTATGTTTTTAACTTTTGTGATGGTCTGGTAAAAGAATGTGATCACATCAATGGTAATTTTCAGGGATTATGGATGTGAGAATTTTATCCTGAGCAGTGTCATGTTTTCTATGCTCTGATTGACTAGAAGAATGCCTCTCCCCACGCACTGTGAACACTTGTGGGAAAAGTGCTTTACAGTAAAGGTCTTTCTTGTAATGAGATGAACAAATGCTGACATTTTGGTTCAGTGTTTTTTCCCTGCCTGTGTACTGACAATGTGCAGTTTCAATGCACATGGTTCATTTTACACCTGTGAATCGTTACATTGCATCCCTTAAAACAAGCTATTTTCTTAAAAGGATAAAAATACAAGACTGCACCACTATATGTACATCGTTTCTGCCCAAAGGTTGTAGGTTGTTAGGGAGTTGGATTAAAAATTAGGAGACTCTGCTAAAAAGCAAATGGGATTGTATCATCCTTGCAGTATTAGATAGCTTTTGCTCAAAGGTGTGTGTGTGTGTGTGTGTGTGTGTGTGTGTGTGTGTGTTGAAATGGTAGTTGGACAAAGTCACCCAAGTAACCAGATCTTGACTCAAATAAAAACTAAATAACTGCGGTGTCTCAGTTTTGTCTGGTTTCCTCTTTGGGTGAAGAGTGCAAGGAAAAGGAAAAGAAGTGAGATCTTTCACAGGACCGAGAGACAATGAGCAGGCTGTGTGGCAGACAGGGCTGGGGCGGGGACTGTGGGAGGCTTTGAGGGAAGAAGAGGCTCTTATACTTCACTGCACAGAAGATCTGAGAAAGACTCAATCATTCCCTGAAAACAGGAGAAATGACAAGGTTAGGCTAATGAGATAATAACAATCTGACTAGACTCATGTTTGTGTACAGATTGTATCGGAATCGGATTGGCAAGTCGCTATGAACCGAACTCCAGACCTTCTTTGGACTCCACTTGTTTCCCATGAGCGTCCTTTCTCCACGCCAGGATTCTGCAGAGTCGCTCATCTCATCTCCTTGGACTCCCCTGGTCTGTGACAGTGCATCACTCCTCCCTTGTTTTTCATGACCTTGTTAGTTTTGTGAAATCAGAGATTTTTCAGTACTGGGGATTGAACGCAGGGTTGCTTTAGCACTGAGCTACATCCCCAGCCCTTTGGTCTCTTCGTTTTGAGACAGGGTCTCACTAAGTTGCCCAGGGGAGATTTGAACTTTTGATCCTTCTGCCTCAGCTTTCCTCAGTGCTGGGATTTCAGGTGTGTACCACTGCACTCGACTAGAGCTTTTTAATTGTCTGTCTTTTATAATTTAATTATTTTAGTTTATAAGTATACTTTAAAAATACGATTTAAAAAAAATAGCCTGGAGATTACCTGACAAATAGCAGTGTCCACTGTTACCCAATGGGAGGCCAGCTGTCCTGAGACAAAATGGCGGGCGCACCTGGGAGACAGCAACTGGCTGCTAGCAAAATGGTTAGCAAGTACTTCTTTAAAATGAAAGTTTATTGGAGTAGAGCTGGAAGGGGGCTATTTCCCCCCAATTCAAAGTTTCTGGTGACTTAATTGAAAAGAGAGCATTCATTTCTTCAAACCCTGGGCTAAAAGGGTTGGAGGAGATTCAGGAGTTGTGTTTTAAGAAAGCATCTTCCTCCTTAGAACTAACTGGGGTGCTGTTCCTGAAGCAGGAGGGAAATGAGTGAGCTTCCGGAAAACATTCGCTCTCCACAGCCACCAGGAGAAGAAGAGAAGATGAATGGTACCGAGGAAAGAGCAACAACAACAAAAGATTCTTTTCCCCCAAGGATGGCACCAGAGGCTCCTCACCTGGGTCAGCCTCCCAGGCAGGAGCTTCCCAGCAGCGCCTTTGAAGAACAGCTTAATTGGAGAGATGACAGGAAACTAGGAGGTAGACTTTGGGAGCTAGGGAAAGGAATGGCAGGGGAGGAGTGGGAGAAGGGGGTCATGGGACAGAAAAGATCAGATATGTTAAGTGCATGTACCAATTTTCCAAAATGAACCTCACCAGCCTGTATAACTAACATGCACTAAAACAAACAGACAGATAGATAGACAGATGACAGCTTTATTAAGATTAAATTCCCATGCTGTTGTTAGTGTACTACCCAGTGTTTTTTTAGTATGTTCACAGCTTGTACTGCATCACACAATCTAACTGTAGAACATTTTGGTGCCCACCCATCCCCACTTTCTGGTCCTGCAACTGCTCATTTAACTTCTCCCTCCACAGATTTGCAGGTGTTGAACATTTCACCTGAAAAGGAATTAATAAATATGTACTCTTTGTATCTGGGTTTTCCCACTTAGCATGAAGTTTTTAAGGTCAGTCTACATCGTAGCATGTACAAGTACTTCACAGCAAGCAGTGTTCCATTGAATGCATATGCCATAGTTTATTTTTAATGAGTTACCCATAGAAAGGGGAGGAGAAAGCTCTCTCTTATTCTTGGAGTCCTTTTGTTACCAGTTTACTGCAAGAACCGCAGCCTTGATTCTGAAAAATTGGCCCAGGGGTTGAGGGCTTGGTTACATCCTGCCCCATTTCCCTGTTGTTGTTTTGCATCTTTACCCACTTTATTGAGCAGGCCTCATCATAGATTGCTGTCTTCTCTTGGGGCATACCAGTTTCTTTCATGTTAAGTGTTTCGGTGCCATAGGCTGCCTGGATGATCCACATTATCACAACTCCAATTGTTGCAGTTGCCACCCACTCTATTCCTGTCCCACCGTAGTTCTCCCTGGCCCTTGTCCCATGAACATTTACTGAGCCCAATGTCCTCTGCTTGAGAAACAGCAGTGCCACTCAGGAGTACCTGATGCCCAAGTATGTGCTCAAGACTGCTGAAGTAGTAGCAGGATGGCACCAAGGTGGTTATCGTATCTCAGTGTTCAATTCTGTACCCCATCCTTGCTGAAGGAGCAAGAATTGTAGAGTCAGAAAGACTCAGGCTTCCATCTTGGCTCTAGGGCTTCATAGTTATGTGGTCTGGGACAGGTTGTAAATTTATCTAAGCCTCAGTTTCCTCATAATCTTTCAATGAAAAGGGGTCTAATGCACTAACTCTCACAGATTTTGTAAGGATTGATTTAGAACTGGGTTAGATGACTTCACTTTTAATAAGCATCCTAAAATTCAGATTAAGAATAGTTTCCAAATATCATTTTGAGAAGCATGGCAGTAGGTCATAGATACAGAATCCCGCAGCATGCAATTTTTATATTTTATGAGTTGATATTTGAAAATCACTCTGAACATGGCTCGGTGTGTAAGGAATGCATTTGTTAAAAATGGAAGTCTCCTGTTTTTCTTCCTTTTAGATAGTAAGGATCTATGAACCATTGGCTAAGGCTTCCATGAGAAGAAACTGGAAAACCACTGATAGGATGCTTCTGGTCACAGCAGGAGCTGGGGACATTGGATTAATTCTGGAAACACTGAAGCATGAAAAATGACCAGAAGCTGAAACAGCAAAGGCAAACTGCCTATTGTTCTTCCCCCACCCAGCTTCAATCCAGCATCACAATCTCTGCCCGTGTCCCATCTCCTGTTCCTCACTTCCCTTTTCCCGGTCCACCTGATGCCAGTGAGAGATGACCCCTGACACCTTCAGAGAAGTGTGTGCTGGCCATGGTCCCATTTTCCTGAGTGTGGGCTCTGTGGGGGCCTCGGGACAGTAAAGGTGGTTTCTCCTTTCATCCTCCTGGAGGAGGCGCAGTTGGAACGCCGAGGTTTGGCAGGGTTGAGAGACCTTTGGGGGTAGATTGTTTCTTGCCTTTGGAGGCTGCTGAGCCTCCTAACCAGCAGAAGCTCTCACTAGGTTTCTGCTATCTAGCTATGTTTGCAGATTTGGGATTGCAGTGAGGATCCTTCTGAGCCTAGAAAATAGTTCCTAGACTTGGCTCCATGAGACCAGTTGGCAAGTCTCAGGTTCTGAGTTGGTTAGATGTGGTCACAATTTGGTCATTACTTACTCTTTTCATTTGCAGAAGCATAAGTATTTTCAGATTGGGTACTACACAGTTAAATCTGCACATTTGATCTGCATTACCTGGTTTAGGCTTACAGCCAGGAAAATTGCTTCCATGCAATATGTATCTACATGTTCCTTTTTTTCATGACTAAAAAGTCTGGGTATATAGAATTAGATAGATATTGATTCAAGTCAGAAAAGAGCATGTGTGTCTCTTGGAGTTGGTGATACAGAATGGCTTGGAGAAAAAGAAGAATCTCTTGACTCCGCAGTTAATTTTAAGACTTAAATAAGATTCTTGGGTTTGTGGTTGACTTGCATGTTGAGTGAGTGAGCGAATGCTAAAGTCACTTTTGTGCTGGAATCTTACTGTGGATATGAAAATTTCACTCCCTTTCTTCCAAACCAATTTTACATTTCTTTTTTAAAAATTTTAAATTTTTATTATTATATGTTTGCGTGCTTACATTCATCGTAGGGAGTTGGTACATGTTCAACTTTACATTTCTAACTTAAAGCTGTGAATTGATTAAACTGGATGGCAGGAATAGAATGCATACACAGGTCTTTACATTGTTCAATAGGTTTGGATTTTCCCTTTGGGGAAATTAAAGAAAAAAGAGCTGATTGGCTTAGGTCCCAGCATCAGGAAACTACCTGCTCTGTCAGGCACAATAGGGAAAACTAGTGATAAAGGGCCTGGGAATAGTTTATCACTATGATTTCCCAAGGAGAAGAGATCAGGCAGCACATGGCAGCAGGGCACTGTGACCTGAACAAGGATTATAGAAAAGAGGAAAGTTCCAAGGCCGGGAAACCACCATCCTGAATAATAGCAATCCCGTAACTCTGTCCACAGGAAAGTACTGAGGGTAGTTTTGAGCCCTTCTCATTTTACAGAGAAGATTCTGGGCAGTTGAAAGCCCTTTTCATGGTGAGCTCAGGGAAATGAACATAGAGGCATAAGTACAGATTTTTTCTTTTTCATAGTGAATCCAAAGATTTGTAGAAATTTTCCAAGGAAGTGATTCTTTGACTTTTTGGAATTGTGGATTCTTTGAAGTCTTTGATGAAAACTGCAGCCTGCCCCCACTCAAACAAACAAACAAACAAACCAACAACAAACAAAACCAAAAAACATGTGTACAGGTATATCCAACATTGTACCTACAATTTTCAAGTTTGGTAACCATCTTGAAGCCCATCTTTAGGGGTCCCTAGGGATCTCAAAATTTTAGGTTAATGATCTTTCATTTCAGAAGTACTATATTGCAGTAAACTTCAATGAGCGATAGTTATGAAGCATGGGTAGTGAGGAAAGACCTTGTAGAAGACAGTTACTTCTACATAGCAAGGCCATGGAGATTGGGAACAGTCATAGGGCAACAGATGGAAGGAAAGTTACAAGGCTGGAAATAAAACAAAACAGTGGAGGAAGTATGAGGTTTGAAAGAGGGTAAGTCCGTACTGGATTTCTAATTCTGCCACATTGGAGGATGTGAACTTGGACAAGAGCATGTACCATGATGCTTGGAGTCCACTGGCCCTTGTCTTTCTCCTTCTGTGGTCAATATGGAAGTACAGATGGTGGGGTGGAAGCAGCATGAGCTGCGGGCCTGGACTGATCTGGGTTTAAATCCCCTCTTTGGATATCATTAGTTGGTGAGTTTGGGACAGTCAATTTTCCGAGTCTTTCACCTCTAAGAAAACTATAGAAATGTACCCAAGCAATTATGCATATATAAGTAAAGTGTTATAGAGAACTCTAATTATTAATAGCTTTTATCATTGCAAAAGAGACCACATCAACTTCAGTGGAGGTTATATCTTGAGAGGAAGTGGTAGAGCTACAAAGGAGACCTAATGCCAAATTGTAAATATCACAGAGCTAATCAGCTCTGCCCATTAAAAAAAAAAAAACAACTTTACACCTTTAATGTTTATATTATATAAACTGTATATAAGATATATACTGTATATCTTACAGTCTGAATTTCTGTTTAAAATGTTTGAATATTTTTTTGGTTGCTCACAGATTAAGAATGGGAATAGTAGGAAAAGACTGCATTTTTGGGGATTCTTCAGGTAATAGAACAGCAAGACTGGTTGGGCAAGGTGATTCCTGGGTTGCCTGGTTCTGCCAATGATTAACAACTTTGCAACGGCCACTTGAGATTCATGGACTTCAGTTTTTCTAACTGATTCTTAAGGGAGTATATGAGACATATTTTCTTCTTGAATTTTAAGCTTTTAGCATTCTGAGGTTCTATAATGTTAAGATATTTTGTAGAGCTCCCCCGCCGCCATCCCAAGCTCCTAGGGCAGAGAAGCTGAGTGGGTCCCAGCACCTGGAAGGAAGCTCCCCGCCTCCATCCCAGGCTCCTAGGGCAGAGAAGGTGAGCTGGTCCCAGCAGCTGGAAGGAAGCTTCCCCACTGCCATCTCAAGCTCCTAGGGTGGAGAAGCTGAGCTGGTCCCAGCACCCGGAAGGAAGCTCCCCTACTGACATCCCAGGCTCCTAGGGCAGAGAAGGTGAGCTGCGCAGGTGCCAGAAGCATCTCCCCCCACCCGTGGAAATGAGAAGACATGTAAACAAGCCTCAAAAGCAGACTTCTGGATCACCTACAGCAACCACAAAGGGAAACGAGATGGAACAATCTGATACTCAACACCCGGACTCTCTGAACTGGCAACAAAAGAGGATCTGGGAAAAATGAAATCAGAAATAATTACTTAGATAGCAGCAAAGATTTTGCTCATGGTGCAAGACATGATTAATAAATCTAGAGAGGACACAGATAAAAAAATAGAGGATCTGAGGAACATGATG